TCAGCTTCCTCCAGTGGGGGCATTTCAGAGTCAGCTTCGACGGTGTCGTCATCGATGCTCAAGCCAAGTTTCAGCATTCTGTGGATTCTGTTGCCAAAGGTGTTAGGCTCATCGAGACTGAAACCAGATGTGAGAAGGGCGGTCTCGAAGAGGAGGAGAACGAGGTCTTTCACAGACTTGTCGTTCTTGTCAGCATCGGCTCTCTTCCTCAGTTCCTCCATGATGGAGTTCTCTGGGTTGATCTCCATTGTCTTCTTGCTGGACATGTACCCAGCCATGCTGTTGTCTCTCAAAGCTTGCGCCTTCATGATTCTCTCCATGTTGGCAGTCCAGCCGTACTCACCAGTCACCAAACAGCAAGGAGAATCAACCACACGGTCAGACACCACAACCTTCTCGACCTTGTCTCCCAGAACCTCCTTGATAACCTTGCATAGACCCTCGAACTTCTGCTTCAATTCTTCCTGCTTTTGCTTCTCATCTTCAGTCTCGTCAAGTTTCAGGCCCTCCTTGGTTGCCGAGACAAGCTTCCTGCCCTCAAATTCCTTGAGTTGGCCAATGGCATACTCATCAATAGCATCAACCATGTAGAGAACTTCATAGCCCTTCTTCTTCAACTTCTCAAGGAATGGAGAGTTCTCAACAGCCTTCTTGCTCTCACCAGTGATGTAGTAAATGTCACTCTGGCCTTCCTTCATCCTGGTGACATAGTCCTTCAGGCTAGTCAGCTCATCACCACTCTTGGTAGAGTGATATCTGAGCAACTCAGCAATCTTTGTCTTGTTCTGGGAATCCTCGTGGATACCAAGCTTGAGGTTCTTAGAGAAGGCCTCGTAGAACTTGTTGTAATCTTCCTTGTTTTCAGCAATCTCAAAGAAGAGCTCAAGGCACTTCTTTACCAAATTCTTGCGGATGACCTTGAGAATCTTGTTTTGTTGCAATGTTTCTCTTGAGATGTTGAGAGGGAGATCCTCAGAATCTACAATACCCTTGACAAAGCTAAGGTACTCCGGAATCAACTCCTCACAGTTGTCCATGATGAAGACACGACGGACATAGAGCTTGATGTTGTTGGGCTTCTTCCTTGTGTCAAAGAGATCAAAAGGAGCCCTCTTAGGAACAAAGAGGATGGCCTTGAACTCAAGTTGACCCTCAACTGAAAAGTGCTTGACAGCTAGGTGCTCCTCCCAGTCATTTGTAAGGCTCTTGTAGAAAGCAGCATACTCCTCCTTTGTAATCTCTTCAGGCTTCCTCATCCAGATGGGTTTCTGCTTGTTCACCAAAGACCACTCATGGGACACCTCCTTGATCTTCTTCTTTTTCTTCTCTTCCTTCTCCTTCTCCTCATCAACATCCTCAACCTTTCCTTCCTCATCCTTCTTCTCTTCTTCATCCTCGTCGTCAGAAATCTCCTTCTCAGTAGTCTTCTCAATCCAGAGAGAGATTGGGTAGCTAATGAACTCAGAGTGCTTCTTGATCAAATCCTTGAGGCGGCGCTCCTCAAGGTACTCAAGCTGATCCTCCTTAAGATAAAGGGTGATCTTTGTACCCCTGCCAAGGGGCTCACCAGCGGTGTCTCTGGTGACAGTGAATGATCCACCAGCTTGAGATTCCCACACATACTGCTCATCATCATTGTGCTTTGAAGTCACGATCACTTTCTCAGCAACCAAGTAAGCTGAGTAGAAACCAACACCAAATTGTCCAATCATGCTCACATCAGCTCCAGCTGCCAATGCCTCCATAAACTCTTTGGTTCCAGACCTTGCAATGGTACCAAGATTGTTGACCAAATCTGCAAACAGTAAAGTCGACATTAGCAAAGCAATCAATCATCAACAATACAAAATCAATGATACCATTAAGAAAATCACTTACCAGCCTTGGTCATGCCAACACCACTGTCAATGATGGTCAATGCGTTGTTGGTCTTGTCAGGGATAATGTGGATGAAAAGCTCTGGTTGTGCATCGAGCTTGCTCTTGTCTGTCAAGCTCTCAAACCTAATTTTGTCCAATGCCTGAGATAGAATCAACATATAATCCAATCAGAACCCATGAACACATGCCATTAACAATTAATAACTCGACAACCAAACAAATTTCCAAAGCTTAGCACTAAAAGTACTTCCATAAAACCAAGTAACAAACATGTCGCTTATTTCAACAGAGCTCAAAAATCTCAATCCAAACATGTCTAAAAACAAACAGTCGCACCCTTCATGAAAACCCACATGCTCATTGCCACATTAATCCCTTCACGCTCAACAGTAACCCATGATTCTAACCCAACAAACCCGAAATCACTCAAGTAAAATTCAAGAGCAACCAAAACATAGAAACAAATCAACCTAAACAAAACCCTAATACACTATTAACCAATTAATTATCAACACTATGCTAAAACCTCTTAAACCTTAAAATATCAGCGTGGTGATCATCATAAACAACAAACAAACAAACAAACAAGAGAATCATAATCTAGACAAAAAAAAAACACCAATAATTACAATTCCTAAAAACAATCTAGAAAGAGAGTAATAACGTACATCAGAGGCATTGCTGATAAGTTCACGGAGAAAGATCTCCTTGTTGCTGTAGAAAGTATTGATGATCAAGCTCAGAAGCTGGTTGATCTCAGCTTGGAACGCAAACGTCTCTGTCTCCGACATCGCTGTTTTGCTTTCTTACACCAAAGAAAAACCCTAATTTATTTTAGAGAGTAAAGAGCGATTAGAAGAGGAACAGATACAGTGAAGAGTAGTGAAGATTGAGGCTGCAAATTCTCGGGTTAAGAATTGTTTATATACTGAAATTTTGCTAGGGTTTCTAGATCCTTCTATTGCTTGCGCCACCTTTGATTTTTCCTTTTTTAGATATTTCCTTGTTATTACAGCAAAGGGCCCATGGGGAAATTAAAAGTGCGTTTTGGTTAGTGTAGTTTTAGAGAAATTCGATTAATACCCTTAATGTTTTTGGAGACCTTATTAGATTTTCCCAACGTATTCCTTACTCGATCATGGTGATTCTCATTTTTACATAGTTAGGAGGTTAATGCACTTGAACTGCCTCATAGTATATCTTATGACGGTATTCTCCATTTTTAATTTTTTAATTTTTGAAAAAAAAATCTATCCTCGAAGTGTGAAAAAATCTATCATAAAATATGAACTTGATTCTATGTAGATTTTTTTTTTGTTATTATTTTGGATTAAATCTTACGATAAAGTTAAGAAAACAGATTGTTTTTTTTATATATGCACTAGTACGAATGTATATAGTTTACCCCTCGTTTCATTGAGAGAAATTTCATTTTGATATGGAAATACATAAAAAAAATAACTTTTAAATATCGATAAAATACTAATTAAAAAATACTGATTATTTTCTATGATATGAACGTACATTGAAATGAAATAGTACGTGTAATAATAGATAAAGATGGAGCATTTTTTTTGTTTTTTTTTTTCAAATACTGGATGTTAAAGAATTTGATGATATGTATGGGTTTGGGGGAATGAAAGATGAGATTAATATAAGAATATGTGAAAGAATAATTGAAAATAAAAGTTGGATTTGACTAGCAATTTAGAATAAGGATTGAGTTGAAATTTGTTCAAAAGAACATGGAGTGAAATTGAAATATTTAGTCTTCTTTTCATTTCATAATTATAAAAAATCATTAGTTGGTATCGTTGTGGGTTTTGATTGGATTACGCGGCGGTGTGCTTCTAGAGGTATGACGGCAAGAGTTTTTGGCATTTTCTTTTCCTAATTTGGATTTACAAGAAGATTTTTCGAGGGATTTTGATTTTAATTAAGAGCTTAAATTCTTATCTGACGTAATAAATTAATTTAAGAGTTATGGGAAATCTAGCGTCAGCTCTAATAATATCTTAATAATATAAACTCTATCGATAATCTTGAATTAATTTTAGGGTTAATAACTTAATATATTTTTATAAGATATGGTAATTTTTTAATCTATTTTTATACGATTAACTAAGTTGATTTTATTATTAAATATACGTTAAATTTTAAATTTATTTTACTTGCAAGATTTTTAAATTAAACTATCGAAATCTATCATGTGATTTACATATAAAAACATTATATTTTTTTGAATTAATTGGACAGTTTTGAAAATAGAAAGTATTAATGTATAAATACCATGAATAATTCTAACCGTTTGATTTGAAAATCTTATCAAAGTGATAAATTAAAAATTTAATGAGTTAAAGGTTCGGATGTCCTTATATTATTTCAAATTTCTTAATTGTGTCCTTCTACTAAAATTTTCAATTACCATATTCCTCTATTCTATTTTGCATAGGTATTTAGTCCCTTCGATCATATTTTTTGGTATCGGAGACAATTTTTCAGCTAAGAATGACATGATGCTGAAACATAGCATTAATTTTTTCTCTCAATTTTGTTGGCACATGTCAGCATCTTGTTATTTTTAATCGAAAAATTGTCTTTGGTGTCAGAAATGTGATCAGAAGAACCAAATACAAATACAAAATGGAGCCGAAGGACACGACGGTTGAAAAATTTAGTAAAGAGAAACGATTAAAAGATTTAAAACGAGTAAAGAGATATCCCGAACCTTTAACCCATAATTTAATATATATTTAAGATAAAATTAGTTCAATTAAAAACATAAAAATATATTAAAAATTATTTTATTATATAATTTTTTTTTAAGTTCAAAAGTTAAGATCACTTATTAAACTAATAAATCGATAATAAATTTAATCTGGATTAACTTACAGCCCAAAAGAATATGAACCAAATTTGAAAGAGTTTACTTATGGCTTTGGGATCCAAATACTACTAATTGGGTTTATTTCTAGAGGCCCACATTAATCTGACTAAAGCCCAATTCAGTTCCATTTCTGCTTTCGCCTTTCTGCTGTTTCAAGCTAACATCGCCACTGTCAACTCCATCACTGTTTCAGCTCTCAAAAACCCTAAACCAAATCTCTCTCTCTCCCAAAAATGCCACCAAAAGCATCAAAATCGAAAGAAGCACCAGCCGAGAGGCCGATTCTCGGTCGATTCTCTTCTCACCTCAAGATCGGCATTGTAATTACTCTCTTCTTCCATTCTCCCTAATTTAACCTATTTGTCGTGTTTTGATTTGTGATATTATTCATTTTCTTTGCTAGGTTGGATTGCCGAATGTAGGGAAATCGACTTTGTTTAATACGCTGACGAAGATGTCAATACCGGCTGAGAATTTCCCATTTTGCACCATTGAGCCTAATGAGGCTAGGGTTAATATTCCTGATGAGAGATTCGAGTGGCTCTGTCAGTTGTTCAAGCCGAAAAGCGAGGTTTGTGGACTCCAAGTTGTTGGATTTAATGAATATTATTTTCGGTTTTTCTTATTGATGGTGTTACCGGCGGGTATTGAGCCTTGATTTTTAGTTGGTTTTTATGAATTTGATGGATTAAGCATTGCTTACTGTTGAGCTATGCAGTAAAAATGTGTAGAGTCAGTTGAAAATACGGCTAGAAAGTGAAAATAATGAGAATTAATGGTTGGGGTTTACTTAATAAGATAAATTTTTGCCTTGAAGAAGTCTGTGTTTCTGGATGGTGACGATTAGCTACATTTTGTGTTATTCTTTTGTTTAGTACTTTATATGCAATATATTGAAGGATTTAAATTAGCTACATATTTCTTATTGATGATGTTGCCGGTGCCTATGCAGTCTTAATTTTAAGTTGGTTTTTATAAATTTGACGGGTGAAGAATTGTTTATTGTTGAATTATGTAGTAAAAATGTGTAGAGTTAGTTGAAAATACAGGTAGAAAATGAGAATAGCGAGAATTAATTTATGGGGTTTCCTTGAAAAGATATATTTTTGCATTTATGAATGTGTTTTTGGATGGTGATGATTAGCTAAATTTTGTGCCATTCTTTTGTTTAGTACTTTATATGCAATGTATTGGAGGTTTTAAATAATTTGTGGGTTTTTGAACTGATGTTACTGGTGCGAAGAGAACTTGAACTTTAGTTGGTTGCTATGGATTTTTTGGATTATACCTGGTATTTGTTGCTGGATTATGAAGAAGGAAAAGGAAATGCGTATAGTTGATTGAAAATGTGGAGAGAAAGTGGAATAATGACAATTTATTATTGGGGCTTCTTTAAATGCAATTTTGTTGTTTAGAATTATTATTACTAGATCATGTGTGATGATTACTTAGGTAGTGTTATTCCTTATTCTTTAAGTCCTTTGTGCAATATTTATTGAAATGTTTTAATGCTCAGGTTTCAGCATTCTTGGAAATTCATGATATTGCTGGATTGGTTAGAGGTGCACATGCAGGTCAAGGGTTGGGAAACAGTTTCTTATCGCACATTCGTGCTGTTGATGGCATTTTTCATGTTTTGCGTAAGATCTTTTACATTTTCTTTTTAGAATTAGATTTCTATCACTTTAATAATGCAGTTAATTTCTGATTTGATACTGGCAAGACTATCACATGTGTCAACGAGGGGAATAATGAACATGGTGCTTTGCTGTCTAAGGGGAGAACTGTAGTAAATTTTTCATGGATAGAGTTAACTGTTCGATGTTGTTGGAGTTGTATTAGAAAATGGTTGGAATCTAGTATTTGAGTTTTTTTTTTCTTTTTTTTTCCTGCCTGTTTTATTTTGATGTTAAACGTGTACTTGAAGTAGAATTCACTTATTGTATCTATTCATGTATAATAGGAGCATTTGAGGATCCAGAAATCATTCATGTTGATGACATTGTGGATCCAGTTAGAGATCTCGATGTTATTAGTGAAGAGCTCCGACTGAAGGTATGTTATGGATCCGCAGATGCTGTTCGGCACTTAAATAATATTCATAATTCTTGAATTGAACATCTAGATATCTGTTTTAGAATGTCTTTTGATTTTATAGGTATGCTCCATAATGCATTTTTTAATGTGGTGCAACATAAAGTTGTCTATGCGACATAAAGTTGTCTAACTTATTTTGACCATTTACTGTAGAACTTATCAGTTGAAGTAAAGTAGTTTTTTATATTTTTTATGACTTTACTGTAGGATATTGAGTTCATAGAAAGGAGGATAGAGGATGTTGAAAAGAGCATGAAGAGGAGCAATGATAAGCAGTTGAAAATAGAGCTGGAGATGTGTCAAAGGGTATGTATTCTTGTCGTCTGGAACTCTGGATAATTCCTTAGCTGGAATCTTCATCGAATCACATGTTGTTGGTTTGAGGGTCCGCTACTCGTTTATTCTTCTTCATCTGCAATGGTCAAAGTGGTTGACTGGCTTATTCTTTTTTTCCCCCTCCCTCCCTCCCTCTCTCTCTCTCTCTCTTAAAATCACTGGCTTATTCTTTTAATTGATGTCAAGCAATGATGGTGCATGTTAGGTCAAGGCATGGCTTGAAGATGGGAAAGATGTTCGTTTGGGAGAGTGGAAAGCTGCTGATATTGAGATATTGAATACTTTTCAGTTGCTTACTGCCAAGCCTGTTGTTTACCTGGTAAGTATTTTATCCTCCTATCCTTCTAAGGCTTTTCGTAGGCAGTTTCGATGATCTTCTTGGGCTACGCTTGCATTCATTTTTTAGGTTAACATGAACGAAAGGGATTACCAAAGAAAAAAGAACAAGTTTTTGCCCAAGATTCACGCATGGTATGTCCAATTTTTTTCCTCAAGTTTACCATTTTGAATTCATATATGCTGCTATGAACTCTATCCCCCGTTCCCTGTGTGTCTTTGTATGCCTTCCGTCTTGCTTGACAACATTGGCAGAAATTTATTATAGCTTTACAGTTAATTATTGTCAAATCTTGGATGTCTGTCGTAACATATGCCATATGTCCAAATGCATGGATGCCATGTCATGCATGGGTGTAACTGTTCATAACATTTATCTTATATGTTTATATTGTGTTCTTGGACCTCAACAATTTGCATGGATAACACTAAAAACTGCTTTTTTATATTTAAAGAAAAGAAAGCATGGTTATGTGTACATCACCCTGTTCTTTTTCTGGACAATGATATAACTTCCAGCAGCATCATTTGATGCTTGCCGTTAACATGTCAAAAATATCTCTCTTCTAGTTTTTTTTCTACAGAAGGAATAAGTCTTTATTTTCTTTTCTAGGGTGCAGGAACATGGGGGTGAACCCATTATTCCTTTCAGCTGCGTCTTAGAGAGAAATCTTGCTGATATGCTACCTAATGAAGTGGAAAAGTATTGTGAGGAGAACAAGGTACAAAGGTTAGTGTTGATGAGCCAGTTGCTTGTAAATATATCTTTTAAATATTTTTGTCCTCTGTAGATCTGTATACTAATTTGAGAGAAAAGCAGTGTGTGTTCTCAAAACCTACACAAAAAGCAATTGGTACAAAAACTAATCATCATGCCCTCTCCCATTTCCCCCCTATATTTTACCAGATGTTGAGTTGTGCAGCATAAAGTTATTTATGGGTGTCCTGCTTTCTATTTTTTTCTTATAGCATTGAGCTAAGTTGATCAAACCACAATTTGCTGCAGTGCCCTTCCAAAGATAATAAAGACTGGATTTTCAGCTATTAATCTCATATACTTTTTCACTGCTGGCCCTGACGAGGTAAAGGATGTCTATACCCTTTTTGACTTTTTTACTGTTATTTTCTCTGGTCAGTTTATCTTTGGCAACTTCTATGGAAACCTTTGCTAGAAATATTTTGCAATTTGAATTGAGTATTATGCAGATAGGGGTTATATTCTTCTGTTTGTAGCTATATGGTGTCTTTTCTTCAAAACATGTTTTTACACTAGACAGGCATGTCATCCTACAATAAAAAAACTCAATACAGTTTTTGTTAATTGTCAATGCAAATGATCACATGTAAATTACCATGTCCCAGGTCGTTACTTGAAATTTGCCTCAGAAACAGTATTGCTGCAAGTGTTGGCTATTGTTTAGGAATTTATGTTCACAAACTTGGATTTATGGCATCAGAAAAGTGCTCTTTTTCTCGGGAAACTTGTGTTCTATAAATGTTTCTCCATGAGGGTGCTTGTGTTCTATAAATGTTTCTCCATGAGGGTGCTTTAGTTTGTGGCTGTGGAGCATTGAAGGTTTAAAAAAAAAAACCACAAACTTAGTTGCAATGTGTAGTGAGTGAGCATCTAACCTGGCATTTACCTTTGGAATGAATTGTTAGGTCTTAGCAGATTGCACTAGCACTCAAGAGTTTCTTTCAACGTCAGTAGCAATTAATATTTTCTATTTCTCTCTTGATCATGATTTTCAAGCTTCCTTAGTTTTTCATAATCTGTTTGCAACACTTTGGTGCTACTGGTTTGGGACTCTGTTACAGGGTTGTTATTTCTATGAACGTATGCTTCTTCTGTTATGATTAATGTCCTTCCCATTGATGGCATGTTTACTTATACCAGCACACCATTCTTAACCTTTTGTTTATCAAAACTATCTTAATGTCCCCTTTTTTTGTCGTTGGAATAAAAAATAAAAAATAACTTTGTATGTCTGTCAATTTGATGATGGTTTTATTTCCTTCCTGTTTATCGCATAAATTCTTCTACGAGCCAGCCTTAAATAACCTTTGTTTTGCTAAATTAGCCTAATGTTCAAGAATGTTTGCTCTTGCAGGTGAAATGTTGGCAAATCAGACGACAGACAAAGGCACCTCAAGCTGCAGGGGTGATCCATACTGATTTTGAGAGAGGGTTTATATGTGCTGAGGTTTGTTCTTGGTTCATGCTTTTGGATTTACTTGTTAACGTGCCTAGAAGTGTCTAACAACCTTTTCAATCAATTTACCTTTTTCAATCTTAACGACTTTGCCCCTTACTAATTTACATGTCAATCAATGGTCTTGATGCATGTTTGATTTTTGTTGGTGGTTGTTAAAAATTTAAAGTTTTCTAAGTATTGGATTTTCTGATAATGCTTAGGTCATGAAATTCGAAGATCTAAAGGAGCTTGGTAGTGAGGCAGCTGTAAAGGTATGTGCTCTGAATAAAAACATTGCTTGTTTGCTGGGTGAGCTTCAGGGGTTGGGGGTGTTGTGAATGAGTTATGTGTCCCAATATTTTCCCTCAGTAACCGTGTGAAGTCAGAATTAGACAGTAATAGCTATATCAAGGAGAATTTCAAAGATAGCAAAAAAGGAAAGTAAATGAGATGTAATTGTCTGTCACGGAAGCCTAAAGTATGCAACATGATGAGTGGACCTAGAATATGGTTGCATTTGTATAACTGATGTCAAAAGGATGAATATGTCCTGAATGCACTAAAAATATTCACTGAATAGACCACAATTGGCTTTCTGGGACACATGTGAAACCGACTAGTGGGTTCTATTAATCCAACATCTGTTTAAATGTGGCACGTGCACTGTAATTCTGTGCAAAACATCCATGTCGTGGAGCACTCGTGCAAAAAGATAACTTTCATTTGGTGGTGGTAGTTTTCTTGATATGGTTGGTGTTGATCTGGGTACCTAAAGGGCCCTTGATTTTGCAAGCTTTCAATATGGTATCAGTTTAAATTTGAAGCGTGCCACTTAAAAGGAAATATATATAGTACTTCCCACAAATTACTCCCACATTAATGTCTAGATTTTTGTTCAGACGCTGTTGCGCAAAATATGCAAGCCTATGATCTATCCCTTTTTATGACGAATTGAATTTCTCTTGCAATATGGCTCAGGCTGCTGGAAAGTATAAGCAGGAGGGAAAGACATATGTAGTCCAAGATGGAGACATAATATTCTTCAAGTTCAATGTGTCTGGGGGTGGAAAGAAGTGAGAATATATCTGCGTCGAGCCATGGTATTAGCTTATCGACACTGGAATTGGATATTGTTAACTCAATTATCTTGAGGCGCTGTCCCCTACTATAAGAATAGAAAAAAAAAAAAGGAAAAAAATACCTGTACTATGTTTTGCAGTATTTAGTACTTGTTTCATGGAGTGGACATTCCAATATGTGCTGGAATTTGATGGCAAGCATCTTAGGGTAAATATATGAAGGCCCTGAGATTGATGTGCAAATTTTCCATTTTATTCTGAAAGCTTTATCTAGATTACACTTTGTTTCGTCCTTTCAATCGTTACGGTGAAATGATTGGTGTATTTTTGGTGGTTATGCTAGAAATTGAATGGTTTGGATCTTGGAAATACTCTACAGAGTTGTTTAGAAATCTATGTTTGATTTCGTCATGGTTTTAGGATTCTTCATTCATTCATGGCCGTGCATCCTTCTCGCATGTGCAAAAAAGTTGTATTCACCTGTAAGAGCTAAAATTATAAATTAGTCCCTCTAGTTTTAAGAATGAATTAATTAGTCTCTCTTGTTACAACAACTAACTGTTTAGTCTTTATATGTTTAATTTTTTTTGGTAATTTCATTCTTTTCTTTTGTTTTTAATTTTTTTTTTTTTAAGAAATAGAAAATTGAAAAAATTATACAAAGAATTGATGTGAAAAGATGACATTTTCTAAAATCAAGTAATAGTAAATTAAGCAATGGTCAAAAACCAAAATATTAATTTTTGAGATTAGGAGAATTAATTAATTTGTTTCTTTAAAATAGAGGAATTTATTTATAATTTACTGCGAGTCAAAATGTGAATTGGAAATTCCAATGCACTCGTCTACTTGAGAACTCTTTTAGGTGATTAGCAATTGGTTCAGTGATCTATTGATCCTTATTTGACCTTTAGGCTACTCAAGATCAAGAAACTGCCCATTCAAATGCACATGAACTTTATTTTATTTTATTTTTTTTCATTTGAGTACATTGACCTTTTTAAAATTGCTTATCATATGTTTCTATCAATTTTTCTATTAACTAATGAAATGTTTGTTACTTTTAGAATAATAAATTATAATTTTGCCCTTGTTGTTGGAGAGAACTTTTTCTCAAATTATTCGATTGTTTCACAATTTGATAAAGAATTAAAAAATATTTTTTAGTTATAAAATTTTAAACTAAGCTCAGTTAGGTTTAAATATAAAAATTAAAAAAAAAAAACACAAACACAAGATTTTTTATTTAGAAGAATCATTGTTTGTGAGCAAATTGAAGGAAAATTTTCTCCAACAAAAAGATGATAAAATTATAATTCGATATTCTAGGAGTAATGAACACGTCATCAATCAATGAAAAATTGACAAAATTACTAGACTCATAGTTTTGAAAAAACTAATATACTCAAATGAAAAAAATTAAAATTTATATACTCGGTTAATAAAATGAGAGAAAATCGTAATTTGATATTTTGGAGGTAAACATACACAACCTCAGCTAATGAGAAAATTGGCAGATATGCTTGATTGGCTATTTAAAAAAAAATTAATCTATTCAAATGAAAAAAAATTAAATACTCAATTGAAAATAAAAATTAAAAAATTAGTATATTTATAGTGCAATCATTTATAAGATAAGTGGGCTTAGAGCAGCCTTATAATTCACCTTTAAGCAGGCTTTCGATCCCATGGGGATGGTTGAAAAATTACTCAACAATGGAGAAGAGTGATATGCAGTTGTCAATGGCTATAAAATTTTGTGCTGGAGGAACTTTGTTATGATAAAATTCTGATAACTACCACATTGATCGATGTCTAGATTTGTAGAGAGCCTTTATATATTCAAAGACTATTCTTTTTTCAAAGGTATGACCTAATGAATTTCTCTTGCATTGATGTATAAGCAGGAGGGGAAGACATGTTGTCCAAGATGGAGACATAATATTCTTCAAGCTCAATGTGTCTGGGATGGAAAGATATGAGAGCATATGTGCATCGAGCAATGAAGTTAGCTTATCGATTAAGTCCCAAATCTTTTGATTTTATCAAATTTTGCAATTGTTTGTTCCTAAATTATCGTTTTTTAAGACATGTGGGGGCTAATTTTGACAGTTAAATAGAATCGATAACGAGCTTGTGTGAATTGGATAGAGTTTTTAGCCGTCAAATCTTTTGATTTTATCAAATTTTACAATTGTTTGTTGCTAAATTATCGTTTTTTAGAACATACGGGGGTTAATTTTGACAGTTAAAATGGAATCATTAATGAGTTTATATGAATTGGACGAAATTTTTTAATCATCGATTGTGCTCTGAGAAAAATTAATAAAGTCATAAGATTTGGGACTCAATTGATAATAGAATACTACATTAAGGGCTAATTTGAGTTTTCTCCAAAAAGCTAAAGAGCTTCTATGAAACTATCGTTGATTTGAGATCATATTACTGTAATCACAACTTTACAACCCCAAACAAATGATTTAAGAATCATAATTTTGAATCAGAACGATGACCTCTAGGGTTTTTGGTGCATTCCCATGTTTCTCCTGCTATTCAATAGAGCATCAAACATGATAGCAACTAATCCAATAGTACCAAGGAAGGCTGTAAAATGGGAACATGGAATTCATCTTGGTTCATCATACTGCCTCCCACTAATTTCTTCTTCATGAACTTCTTTTGCAACGTGGGATGACTATTAATCTAGGGTTTTTTTTTCAAAGAAATATTAAAAAATATTCATTGAAATTATTATTTTTTTCCTCGAATGATTTTAAAAAAGCCTATTCTGTATAGATTGTGGTTGATTTAGTGAAATAATATATATTTTTTAAATACTAGTCTTAAAATCCTAACTTAAGAAGTTAAGAAAATAAACATATATTATCAACTATCAGACCAATTTGCAAGGATTAAAAATGGATAATCTATTAATCATTTATTTTTAGGGTTCTTGCTTTTATTCACGGCTACACATCATTGTCACATTTACAAAAAGAAAAAACATAACATGCACGAGTAAGAGGATTTCCATTTCCTTTCTTTTTTCCGATGAAGATCACACTTTTAAAAGACAAAAAGAGAAAAAGCAAACAAGGAAAGTCTTATTTTTTCTGTTCAAGACATTAGTGGGGGAGAAACCCTACTTTTCCATGCACAAAATAAAGCAAAAAGCGTAATTGAATTTAACAAACAAGTAAAAGAAAGCAATATTCTGTTTCCTAATTGCTTAAAGTTAGAGAAATAACCTAGAAAAAGGCCAGCTTTAAGTTCTAAAATCTCAATATTCTATGCTAATGTGTTAATAAAGGTGGAGAAAAGCTTATTTTAAAGATTAAAAAAGTCTTGTAAAACTGATTGAAAACAAGAAAACAAAGCTCAATAAAAATGTCAAAGCTCCATCATTACCCAAAATTATCTTCCAAATGTTAAGTGCTTCTTTTCCATCGATTTCCATACCTTTTGAGTCTAAATTAATCACCATTCTAAGTCTCATCCATTCTTTGATTCTTCACATTATGAATTACGATAAAGAAGCAAATATTTATTTATTAAAAATCATTTTTATAATGACATAAAATAACGTAATATTGTAAAAAAATCACTTACTAATACGTATACCCAACTATTGCAGTCAACGAAAGAAAACTATAATCTCAAACACGATACATTTGTTTAAATATTATTTTTACATTAGTTTTTCATAGAATAACGCATTAATTTAGATAAATTGAAGATATTTTTGTCTATTATAAAAATAATTTACTAAGAAACTATGATAAAACAAAAAAGTAAAAAAATTCATAAAGAATTTGTTAGTTGAACTTTTAGAATATATGATTTTAATCTTTATAGATGTTTCGAATGTTTTAGGTCAATTTTATTTTATTTTTAACATAATATTATATGAAACACGTTACATTTGTTTAAATATTATTTTTACGTTGGTTTTTCATAGAATAGCGTATTAATTTAGATACATTGAGGATTATTTTGTCCATTTCTAAAATAATTTACTACAAAACTCTGATAAAATAAAAAAATAGATAATTTACAAAGAACTTGTTAATCGAATTTTCAGAATATATAATTTTAATTTTTATGGATATTTCGAATATTTTAAGTTAATTTTATTTTATTTTTAACATAATATTATTTGAATTACCTATTTTTTGATACTCATCTCTAACAATTTTTTACTGTATTTTTTATTATTATTTTAATATATTGATTGATTTTCATTAAAAAAAGAAAAAGAAAAAAGAAATCCATAATTGACCAGAGAATTTGGTGATTTGTTCTTGTGATCTCATGTGGTCCTCTAGATTTGCTTACTTCATACCAATGTCATGCACCACAGCAACGATAGGGGGCATCACCATTAACACACGGGTGGTTAGAGGGGGGCATACAGTGACACGTGTTACAATCTGAGTGGTGTCCAAACAAGATGGGCCCATGGGTCCCGCTTCAACATACCGTGTCATAATTCCTTCACCCACTTCACCACTTCTGTGCTCTTATTTATTGGAATTTGTAAGATGAAGTGACCCTCAGTAGCCCCTAGTCAAAGGGAGGGGCTGCAGGTGGGGCCCATTTTCCTACGTGGCACTAGCCCCAAAATAATATTTGTTTTATTTTAATCATAGTACTTCCAAACAGACAAACAATCTTAAACTGCATTTGATAGTCTTTTGAAGTCCACTATGTTAGTGAAAGATTCCATGTCTTTTTGGCGGGTAAATCCCCAGTTTATGCCCTACAATACGTGTATACCCCCTAAAAAATACTCTAATAATTTTTCCCGCTTTATTTTTTTCACTTTCTGACACTAAAATGCTCAAAAGTACCAAAAAAACAAAAAGGGTTTTTATTTTTTAAAAAAATATTCAAAAACCAATGCAAACAAATTACGGTTTTTTTTTTAGTGAAAATCCCACATGCCTTACTCCACAGATGTATTTGTGGTTTTCTATATTAAAGAAAAAGTTAAAGTCGTTTTGTAGTGCAAAGCTGATTTAAGCAAAGCTAAAATGGACAGTTATTAGAGGGCTTTAAGGCCAAAATATTTTATGGGTCCCTTTATATTTATGAATACTTAGATTCTTGGGTTTTTTTTTTTTTTTTATTGTTCTATTTCTTGTTCTTCTTAATGGTTTTCTTAAGATAAGCTAAAACCCATGTGTATTTTGTTGTAAAGCTCTGTTCTTTGTAAGAAAGTTGGGCTTTTGTTTCATTTTTGCTTTAAAGTTTCAGTCTTTTTAGAGTGGGAGATTCTACTGAGCCTACATTGGTAATGAAAGTTGAGATCTTGCGTGAGAGAATGCTAAAAGTTTTGCTCTTCGTAGATGATTAGATCTCTCAAAGAAAGGGCCCCAGTTTGTATTGCTGTAATTCATTTCGGCCATTTAATGCTTGGGGGCAGTTACAAAAGAATTCTTTGTTGAAGCTGACTTTTTGTCATTGGAAGCAGTAAGGTCCCTTGAAGCTCCATTGCTAGGTAACATTACTGAGTTGGTGAATTTTTGTTGAGTGTTACTGTTGTTTGCTCTCTAATGAGGTCAATGCTCTTGTTTCTTGAAGAAAGGGTTTTCTGGTTCTCTTGTTTTTACTGTTAAATGGTTGAGACTTGGTTGAAATTGCTGGTTCATTTATCCTAACAACCTCGTTTCCTTACAAGATTGAGCTTGTTTCTTGTTTTATAAGGCTAGAAGGCCCTTTTCAAGCGACATTCGAGCGGTCATTGTTGGGTGTGTTTGCTGAGCGCTGTATGGCCTGAAATTTGGTTGTTTTTTGGCTAGAAGCCCCTTTTCAAGTTTTTGATAGATTGAATATGAAGCTCTTTATTCTTTTACTGTTATCCCTATTTTTTCTTTCTCCCATGGGGCAATTGCCTTCACAGGACATATTGGCATTGCTTGAATTCAAGAAGGGTATCAAGCATGATCCCACTGGTTATGTTCTTGAGTCATGGAATGAGGAGTCCATAGATTTTAATGGCTGCCCTTCTTCTTGGAATGGTATTGTCTGCAATGGTGGAAATGTTGCTGGTGTTGTTCTTGATAACTTAGGTCTCTCTGCTGATGTAGATTTGAGTGTGTTTGCAAAGCTTACCTTGCTTGTCAAACTCTCCATGGCAAACAACTCTATAACTGGCAAGATTCCAGACAATGTGGGTGACTTTAAAAGCCTTCAGTTTATGGATGTGTCCAACAATCTGTTTTCTTCTTCCCTACCGCCTGGGATTGGTAAATTAGGGAGCTTAAGGAACCTCTCGTTGGCTGGGAACAACTTCTCTGGCTCAGTTCCTGATTCGATTTCAGGGCTTGTATCCGTCCAGTCTTTGGACTTGAGCCGCAACTCGTTTTCTGGGTCACTGCCAGTGTCATTTACAAGGCTGAATAATCTGGTATATCTGAATCTGTCTTCCAATGGGTTTACCAAGAGGATTCCGAAGGGATTTGAGCTGATTTCAAGTCTACGGGTGCTTGACTTGCATGGAAATATGTTTGATGGTCATCTAGAGGGACTGTTTTTTCTTGTAACCAATGCTAGTCATGTTGATCTCAGTGTGAATATGCTAGTGAGCTCTAGTTCTCAGAAATTACTTCCGGGTATGTCTCAGACCATTAAGCTTTTGAATCTAAGCCACAACCAGCTCAGTGGGTCACTGCTAAATGGAGGTGACATGCAATTGTTTGCAAGTGTAAAGGTATTGGATTTGAGCTACAATCAGTTGTCAGGAGACTTGCCAGGATTTGATTTTGCTTATGAGCTTCAGGTCCTTAGGCTCAGCAACAACAAGTTTACAGGGTCTATTCCTAATGACTTATTGAAAGGAGATTCTTTGCTCTTAACTGAACTGGATTTGAGTGCCAATAATCTCTCAGGTACCTCTCTAATCACTGCTTTATCTTCTTGTGAGTTATTTAACTTGTGCTCAGTTATTATCTATTTAGTGGCCTAGTTCTATTTAGTGTGTTTTATCATTGCCTCTTACATTGTAGCTTCATTCTTTAGGGCCAATAAGCATGATTATGTCAACAACACTTCGTGTCCTTGATCTGTCATCGAATGTGCTTGTCGGAGAACTTCCTTTGGTGACTGGAAGCTGTGCTGTGCTTGATCTATCAAACAACAGGTTTGAAGGAAATTTAACCCGAATGGTCAAGTGGGGAAACATTGAGTATCTTGATCTAAGCCAGAATCATTTGACAGGGCCAATCCCTGAAATAGCTCCACAATTTTTGCGTTTGAATTATCTCAACCTCTCTCATAATTCACTTACCAGCTCTCTCCCAAAAGTTATTACTCGTTATCCAAAGCTTAAACTCCTAGATCTTAGTTCTAACCAGCTTGATGGATCTCTGTTAGCTGATTTACTAATGTCGCCTACTCTGCAAGAAATCCACCTTCAAAATAATTTACTCAACGGTGCTATTGAATTCTCTCCCCCTTCCAATAGTAAATCCAATCTTCAAGTTATTGATCTTTCTCATAATCAGTTTGATGGCTATTTTCCTGATCGATTTGATTCACTCACTCTTCTTAAAGTGCTCAATCTTGCGGGGAATAATTTATCTGGTTCCCTCCCAAGTTCCATGGCTGACATGAGCTTGCTTAGTTTATTGGATTTATCTCAAAACCATTTCACTGGTCCTCTACCAAACAACTTGTCAGAAAGCATTGGTAGCTTTAATGTTTCGTATAATGATCTTTCCGGGATTGTCCCAGAAAACCTGAGGAGGTTCCCTACTTCTTCTTTCTATCCTGGAAATAGCAGATTACGCCTTCCAAATGGACCTCCTGGATCAAACAATCTTCCTGGTGGAAATTCTGGGAGGAAACCGATCAACACCATTGTCAAGGTGGTAGTCATAGTCTCATGTGTGATTGCTCTGATCATTCTTATCATGCTTGCCATCTTCATACTTTACATTCGTATAAGAAGGAGAAATCTAGCAGGTCAAGTTACAAATAAAGGTATCCGTAGGCATACTCAAACAAACCCCTCTGGCACTAGTGGAACAGGCAGTGCTGGTGCCTTGGTTGTTTCAGCTGAGGATCTTGTGGCATCAAAGAAAGGATCATCATCTGAGATTATCAATCCTGATGAGAAAATGGCTGCAGTAACTGGCTTCTCACCATCAAAGCAAAGCCACTTATCTTGGTCACCGGAGTCTGGGGATTCATTTGCCGCTGAAACTCTTGCACGACTGGATGTAGGGTCACCAGATCGGTTGGTTGGTGAGCTGTACTTTCTTGATGATACAATCACAATGACACCAGAGGAGCTGTCAAGGGCTCCGGCTGAAGTGTTAGGGAGGAGCAGTCATGGGACTTCTTATAGGGCAACACTGGATAATGGGGTCTTCGTTACTGTGAAATGGTTGAGAGAAGGGGTGGCGAAACAGAGAAAGGAGTTTGCTAAGGAAGCCAAAAAATTTGCAAACATCAGGCATCCAAATGTGGTGGGTTTGAGAGGATACTACTGGGGGCCCACACAGCATGAGAAACTCATTCTTTCGGATTACATCTCACCTGGAAGCCTTGCAGGCTTTCTTTATGGTAAGATACTGATCTTCTAGCTTTGAATTTTACAGTTGCACTAGTACAGGTTCAATGAAACCAAGAAAAATAGTCAATAACCACACACACACCCACCCACACACACACACACACAAAAGGAAGAAAAGAAGTGTATATTTGATCAAACAGCTGAAGTGAGGCATAATTGCTTCATGCATGCCAATTCCTGTGAAATGTGAGGCACCAGAACTAATTCCTGCAAATGTAGAGAACTTCAATGGTTGTCCTGCTTCTTAATTTGATCTTTGCAATTCGCTTCTAAGTGGAAAGGTTGTCTACCTAACAGTGTTAAGAGTTCAATTACAACCTGTCTTATGGCAGAACAAAATTTATCCTGCAACAGAGACACATTGATTTCCCAAATTAGATGTATGGAGAAGTATTATCTGCTCACCACTTAGTACCTATGTGTTTCAATATCATAGGATTTTCAAATATGTTAGTAATGGTATGACTTTCATATATTGGCCAAAATTGCCTTTTGATTTCTATAAACCTGTCTCTTCAGATCGACCGGGAAGAAGAGCACCCCCACTAACCTGGGCCCAAAGGCTCAAGATAGCAGTTGATGTTGCACGTGGCCTGAACTATCTCCATTTTGATCGTGCTGTTCCACATGGGAACCTTAAAGCATCAAACGTACTCCTAGATGGGCCTGATCTCAATGCACGAGTTGCCGATTACTGCCTCCATCGGCTCATGACTCAAGCCGGCACCATTGAACAGATACTTGATGCCGGGATCTTGGGTTACCGTGCACCAGAGTTGGCTGCTTCCAAGAAACCACTTCCCTCCTTCAAGTCAGATGTTTATGCCTTCGGAGTGATAATGTTAGAGCTTTTAACTGGAAGATGTGCTGGTGATGTGATTTCTGGGGAGGGGGAAGTGCTGATTTGACAGATTGGGTGCGGCTGAGAGTGACAGAAGGTCGTGGTGCAGATTGCTTTGATCCTGTATTGATGCCAGAAATGGTGAATCCGGCAGTTGACAAGGGAATGAAGGAGGTCCTTGGAATAGCGTTGCGATGTATAAGGTCAGTCTCTGACAGGCCAGGCATCAAGACCATATATGAAGATCTTTCATCGATATAGTTTTTAGTCAGTTCCATTTTGATTGGACTTGAATCTGAGGTTTTAATATCTCATTGGCCTCTCTTTTCGATCTTGGTTTTTGGGCATTTTAGTGTTGCTAGCTTCAGATATTAACCATTGTTGTATAAAAGGAGCATATTTTGAATGGATGGTAGATTTTCAGTTCTAGGCTAGTTCTAGATGATGTTGTGGTTTATTGGAACGTTTAGTTGCATTTCTTTTTGTTGTTCTCGCAAACTGCTTGTTTGTAGGATACTTCAGGCAGTTTTCAAACTTCTTTACACTCATCGAAAGAATTTTGAAATGGCGTTGTTTTCTTTGGATTTCTCGCTTTGTCCTCCTTTGCCCTAGCATCTGATCCAAGCTCGCTTCAAGATTTCTGTGTGGCAGCGGCAATGGTAATGGTAAAGACATACCTCAACTTCTTTGGTAGTTACATTGAAATCCTTGGCTTGAAAGAGAAACTATCCTCATTCAACATCCACAGTAAATAGCTTTTTTAGTCTTCTGAAGTTCCATCGAACGGCCTGGCTTGCAAGTATCCCGAAAGGGTTCAGGCTAATGATTTCTCTTTCACTGGTCTTAACTTGGCTGGCAATAAATCAAATTAGGAATGGCAATGGGGCGGAGATGGCTATCCCCATCTTCATGCCTCGTCTCCGTCTTCTGCGTCGCACGAGGTGATATTTCTCATACCATTCACGCCTTAAACAGATATAGGAATTCTCGTAAGGCATGGTATCTCGTTTAATTTTTTATTTCCGTACTGTCATGTCTCATTCTACTATGAAATTTCAAACTATAGTAAAAAAATGATAGTTCATATAAAAAATAAATCTTAAAAATTAGTGATATAATTGTAATTTCGAGATGAAATGAGATAAACGAGGCAATTAACATCTCCGCCTTATCCTCGTTCAAAAAAAAATACAAGGCGAGGTGTCCGTCATGTTTCCCAATCAACTTGAGGAATCTCTGAATTGATCGGGACGGGGCAGGGTTGGGCTTCGTCAAGGTGGGACAAATTATCATCCCTACATCAAATGCAGTAGGGTTAGTGTTGCCCAATTTTCTTCTTTTGCATGGTTACATGTCTTCATTTTTTTCCTTTATTATTATTATTATTTGTTAATGAAAAATTGGACTGTATTTGGAAGGGACTGCAATCTACCAAGTGGAGAAAGCAAGATGTTCAGCTAACATATGCAAACTATAAAGACATTAAAATAGAGATAAATTGGCTTCTAACTTATGCAATAGTAAAAGCTCAACTTGTGATGCAACTGATAAATTGAAAATTATTGCTTCGTACTTTAATTGCAGGCCGAAGTACTCTGCATTAAGAATCCTGGAAAAGCTTAAATTGAGACATACATGTTTTCATTTCCTTTTCTCTTAAGGGTTTTGTCTTTACCTAAATTATTTTTTATTTTTTATTTTTTATTTTATCTTGTTTAAGACCTTTTGTTGGCCATAAGTTTACTTAATTTATTCTTCCCTAAAAAAAAAAAAAAAAACGAATATGAAAAGGCCATGCCTTAATTTTTTTTTTTAAAAAAAAAATCCAACAAAAAAACCAAAATGTAATTACATTTTTTAAATGCACAGAAGATTTGTTATATGTCGATTTTTCTCGGAATGAGGTAATTAATTAATGAGTAAATTTTAATTTATTCCCTTGAAATTTATGTTCTGTCAATTTCATTTTAAAATTTAATTTGTTTTAATTAGACCATATTTTTTTCTTTTTATTCTTACATTTTAGGTTGTATATCAAATATTCAATAGATTTTAGAGACATAATTAAAATTTAAACAGATCGAGTGAAATAAAAATAAAATAAAACATGCAGAGCCTAATTGAAACAAATAAAAAAATTTGGTAAAATTACGAAAACACATAACTAAACCTCATGATGATACAAAATTATCTTTAATTAAAAGACATAAAAATAAAATTAATGCTTTTGTCTTTTTTGTTTGTTCTTCATTTTACTTTCCTTGTCTGGATAATTCATCCATATTTCTATATTCCTTTTTTTTTTTCCCTTATTTCTTCTTAAAATATCATGCATCATGCATGCCCTCTACTACTATATATTATACAAAAGAATATCAGTGGAGAAAATATTAATTAAAGCCATCTAGTCCAACCCTAAGCTTGGCACTTAGCAGCATATGAAATTAATAAAAATGTCAAAATTCAAAAGAAAAGAAAATTTCAAAAATTATTGGACGTCACAAATTAATATTTATATCTTTATATTATGAAATTATTATGTATTCTTTTCCACAATTAATAGTAGCATTAATTAGCATTATATTACTTTCGAATTATTTTACTTTAAATACATATATATTCATGCATGCATGTATTGCTAATTTCAATCATGTTATATACATTTACTTATCTCTCTCTCTCTCTCTCTCTCTCTCTCTCTCTCTCTATATATATATATATATTAGCAGAGTTTATAAAAAAAAAAATGAATTTAAGGAATCCTTTTGTCTAGAAATTAAGGAGTCGAAAGTAATGTAAGACAATGAAAAAGTCCTTTATCGATGTTATGGATATTTAAGGAGTCAAAACTAAGAAATGAACGCGGATTTGGACAGGGAAAACCAAGGAGATCAAGCTGACCCTTTCAATGGGACGGCATTACCTGTTAATTAATTGACTAATTAATTTAATTATTAATCCTACCTTTCACACCTCTCAGAGTTATATAAATAGGAATTGGAGGAACCCTATTTGATCCACACAACTACAAGTTCAACAAAAATATACACTTAGCGTTGAAAAATTTTCACATAGGATATTTTTGCAAATGGCTGCTTCCATTCATTTCTTTGGATTCCTAGCTTTGTTCTTCACCTATGCCCTAGCATCTGACCCAAGCTCACTTCAAGATTTCTGTGTGGCAGAGGCAAATAGCAATGGTACTTATTTTAGATTTGAATTGTTCTTCGGCTTCCCCTACTTCAAAATACTTCGATTTTCAAGTGTTGTGAAACTTTAGTAAGAAAATAATGCATTTCACTTGTTTTATGGCAGTGATGGTGAATGGTGTGGCTTGCAAGGATCCCAAGAAGGTTGAAGCTAATGATTTCTCTTTCAGTGGACTTCACTTGGCAGGCAATACATCAAATCCAGTAGGGTCTAGGGTAACCACAGTTAACGTAGTCCAAATACCAGGGCTTAATTCTCTTGGAATCTCTCTTGTTCGCATTGACTATGCACCATGGGGCATCAACCCTCCACACACACACCCTCGGGCCACCGAGATCTTGACAGTCCTCGAAGGTAGTCTTGAGGTTGGATTTGTGACATCCAACCCTGAAAACCGTCTCATCACAAAAGTTCTGCAAAAGGGTGATGTGTTTGTGTTTCCTATTGGTCTTGTTCATTACCAAAGGAATATGGGAAATGCTAATGTCGTTGCCATTGCAGCTTTGAGCAGCCAGAATCCAGGTGTGATTACCATTGCAAATGCAGTGTTTGGTTCTACCCCAGAGATCCCTAATGACATTCTTGTGAGGGCTTTCCAGTTGGATAAGAATGTTGTCAGTTACCTTCAATCAAAGTTCTAAGCGATGGCGGAATTAAATTCATGGAACAAGAGAGAGAGGCTGGATTTGTTTGTGGTATAAGTTGTGTTCTTGTGGAGGGTTTTACTGTTTGTTAATTTGCTTGTAACAATCCAATATTCTGTAGCTTGTATTTCTGTTGATTTGTCTTTTTGGGGGATTAATTCATTAATTAATTCTTTGCTTTAATTTCTTAGTAGTTTTTTTTTTCAGGGCTATATAATTTATTTATGTAGCTATTGAAACTCAATTTTTATTCAATTCTGTATTATTTTATCTCTCAATAAAAGATATATTTCTATGCTGTGAATTGTGAATCTTGTTGTTCTATCTCTATTGATTGCTGTATATTTCCCATTTTAGCGCATTGCAAGACAAAAATTTATTTCTTAGTCTTAAAAAAATTGTTTTGCTTTTTATTTTTGTTTTTTCTCAAAATATTTGTTTTTAGTCGAAATATTATATATATTTTCCTACAATATCTTTAATTAAAATTTATTTTTATAAGAGATCAACAATTAAAATAAGAGTATTTTGAAAAGCTGTGACCAAAAATGTTAATACAACATAAACTTAAACATTTTTTTAAATGGTATGAAATTTCAAATATAACAATATTTTTGAAATGTAAGGAATACATTATAAAGCCATGCACCTTAAATGATGATAAATATACACTTAAGATTATTGTGGTTTGTATCTATGTATAGTATGACCAAATTCTCTCAAAAGATCAGAAAGTTTCTATTAATTTTTTTTAATAAGAAGAAAGTGTCATTAAATGATTCATATATATGATTAGAAAGTTCGAATTTTCACTGATTACAATGGAATTAATCAACAAGAGAATTAATTTACAGAGATTTACTGGTTTAGGAGGATTTATTGGATAGTACAATTTACCCTCAATTTATGAAAATGAATTCATGAATTTCAATAATAAAAATCAAAGCAGGCAATTTCCTAACCAAGCATATCTATTTTCCCCACCCAAATCAGGTAATTAATTAAAAAACATAAAAAATCAAATGCGAGGATCAAATTTAATCTTTATCATACATTCGGAATGATCAGCTCTCAATGCTGCAATATTATAGTAACTTCTCGCCACATGACAAAACTAGGAACCTATAAGAATTTCTTTGAGTATGTTAGGGAGAATGTATGAGAGGTAGCTACAATAGTGATTGATACTTTTTATTACAAAATGTTTTTTTTATCATATTTGTTTTTACCTTAATTTTATTTAGTTTCGTCAAACGGCAGCTAGGTTGATTAAAAAAATATATTTTTTTTCACATATATTTTTATTGAAAAAAAGCTTTTTTTTAATGGTTTTTAAAATTTTAATTTTTTCATTCTTACCCTATATTGAGATATTTCATACCTTTTGGTTTATATTGAGATATTTCATAAATTTTGAAATGAAATTGAAATTTACGAATAAAAATAAAATATACAGAATCTATATATTGAAACAAATTAAAAATTTTAAGCGATATTGAAAAAACACATATACGGGAGAAGGACACATTAAAATTTAATTTTAATTAAATGAAATAAAAAAAAAGGGAGGAGGATTAAATTTAACCTTCCTCCTACATATATGTTGAATTAGTCCTCAATTCTGCAATACCATGGTAACTTGCCACTTGACAAAACTAGCAACATAAAGAATTTCTATATTTTTTTCCTTATTTCTTCTTAAAATAACTTGGGTCATGCCCTCTACTATACTAATATATTATACAAAAGAAAATCAAAGGACAAACCATTAAAGCCACATCCCAATCCTAAAGCGTGTGTAAACCTAGCTAATGTCAAGTGTAGATAAAGTTCGTTCACATAGGCAGCCCCTTGGCACTTAATGAGCAGCTTACGAAATGTTAGTCCAGAAATAGTCCTCCATGCATGGCCAAATCAAAGCTAAATATATTACGGACGGCATTTACCAAAAGGCCTGCAGAATATCAATTATACATAGCTCGCCTGTGTGTTTGCTTCCTATAATTGACATGGATTTGAACAGGAAAGGAGAAGAAAAAGGACTATATAAGAAGACTCTTTCAACCGGACGGCATAGATGCAGCTGGTTACAGCTTAATTCACTCCATTAATTAATTAACTATATATCTCCTCTACCTTGATCAAATGTGTATATATAAAGGAAGTATGAAGCATATTTGATTCACAAACGAAAACTTGATTAACATATTCTTGGTATCCAAGCAATATTTGTTTCAAAGATCTTCCCTACTTTGGACTTGGCAAATGGCTGCTCCCATTCTTTTCTTCGGATTCCTGGCTTTGTCCTTCTCCTTTGCCCTAGCATCGGATCCAAGCCCACTTCAAGATTTCTGTGTGGCAGATGGAGATAGCAATGGTATGTAAATCTGTTGAAGATATTATCCCATCTATCTATTTTTACTTCACTTGATTTTAGTGATTATATATGTTGTCTTATTATTAGTTTCTTTAACGACACATTTTCACTCTTTTATGGCAGTTCTTGTCAACGGTTTGGCTTGCAAGGACCCCAAGACGGTTCAAGCTAGTCACTTCTCTTTCAGTGGACTTCACTTGGCAGGCAACACATCAAATGCCGTAGGGTCTAGGGTAACCACAGTTAATGTGGCCCAAATACCAGGACTTAACACACTTGGAATCTCTCTTGTTCGCATTGACTATGCACCATGGGGCATCAACCCTCCACACACACACCCTCGTGCCACCGAAATCTTGACAGTCCTTGAAGGTTGTCTTGAAGTTGGATTTGTTACATCTAACCCTGAAAACCGTCTCATCGCAAAAGTTCTACAAAAGGGTGATGTGTTTTCGTTCCCTATTGGTCTTGTTCATTACCAAAGAAATGTGGGAAACGGTAATGTAGTTGCCATTGCAGCTTTGAGCAGCCAGAATCCAGGTGTGATCACCATTGCAAATGCTGTGTTTGGTTCTACCCCAGAGATTCCTGTTGACATTCTTGCAAAGGCTTTCCAGTTGGACAAGAATGTAGTCAATTCCCTGCAATCAAAGTTCTAGACAAGGAATGGAAAATGGTGGAACAAGAGAGACAATTGGTTCGGCCATTAATTAATTAATTCATTAGTCTTGTACTTGTCTTTGTGTGAGTATGCACTTTCTTCATTGTATGATGGTTGCAGTCAATTTGTACTGTGAGGATTCAAATTAAGTCCCTTTGTTCTTGAAATGTTCATGTATCAAATTAATCATTCATTTTCTTTCTTAAATTCATGTTGGTTCTGCCCAATCTCCTTTCTTTATTAGCTAGCCACATGATCTGACTTCATTTTACAAGTCCCTATCACGGATGAATCAAATCACCAAGTTTAAGTGAATGGCACTAGTTATGGTGATTGGTATGTTTTTGACTTCCTACACATGGCTAATTTAACTATATATATACATACAGAAGATGAACTAGAAAAGGTATTGAGCAGAAAAGTGAGACCATCCTAACCATGTTTACTCTTGAAATCCAACAAAATATCCCAATTCTCCCTTCGATCATTGCCATAAGACATTGATGGGTTGTTTATATTGGTGTTGCATTAAAATTATTATGCTAGGGTAGGGTTGGACGAACTAGGAATAAGTGCATGGATAGGTTAGAATAGTTGGTGTAGGTCACCATCAACTTCGACATTCCTTCAATAAATTGGTAAATCACACTGTAGAGTCTGACTCTCTAATGCAGCTAGATAAAGAAACGGGACAAGCAAATTTTACTATCATCAAGAAGAGACCATACCTTTGAAAAAGAGTCACGACCTGTTGTCTTCAAAACAACAGCGTATAACAAATGAACTCAAGGAACATTACTCACGTCTTCAAGAAGAGACCAACCTCGACGTTGTAATAAGAACTTATGATTAGCTGCTACCATGAAATATGCATGCATGTGTGTAGTGTTTAACGTTAATTTGTTTCCATTTGGTAAACAGGTCTAAAATACTTTGAGATAGCCATTAAATGTGGATGCGTAGTGTTTTGAGGATTTGTTTATTCTTAAATTATTTTGAGAAAAAAATATCTATCACGTTAGATAAATCCACAAGATTTGTTTATTCTCAAATTATCTTGTTCATGACAAATTTTGGATTTCAATCTTATGATGGAGGGTTTTTAACAAGAATCTAGAGTAAATTATAAATTAGTCCCTCTCATTTGAAAAACAAATTAATTATTTTTTATTATTTTAAAAATTAATTATTTAGTTATCATATTTTAAAATTTATTTATAATTTAATCGTTTTATTTTTTTTAATTTATTTATTTTTTTAACAATTAATAAAAAAAAAACTATGAATAGATCAATGAAAAATAAAATATTTCGTAAAATAAAAATAATATTAAATTAAATATGATCAGTATAGATAAAAAATTAAATAATAATTTAAAAATAAAGAGGATTAATTAATTTATTTTAGGGATTAATTTATAATTTATAATTTATAATTTAAATTGATTTGCCATGTTAAAATTTCATGTACTCCATTATCTTCTAAAGAATCTGTTAAAAAAAAAAAAAAAAACAACTTTCGAAGAAAGAAAACACTGGCAGCAGTTGCTCAATGCAGTGCCAGATCAAAACGATAGGAAGACAAGAAGCTAAGTATAATTATCCAATTAAAAGAAAACTCATAGTACTAAAAAAAAAAAACAGTCAAAGCTTTGTCTGAGATTGAAAGAAAAAAGAAAAATAGTTGACACTTATCCATGGCAATCTGCAGAGTGAGAGCTTCACTCTCTCTCTTGAAAACCAAATCTCCATTCTTTCAGTATGTTCCAATCCATGGATTCTCTTCATCTCAACCTTCGTTCCAGTTTGAGGTAACCCTTCAAGTATTTTTTGTAATAGCATGATGTAAAGTTCGAATACCCTTTTTGTTGGAATCACTGATTTGGCATCATTTGGATTAGAATCAAACTTCTAGTTGAAATGGATTGTTGGGAAATGATTAGGTGATGAAAAAAACTCAATGAAAAGGTTGGTTCTTTGGATTCAAACAAATCAAACAGAGGAGAATAATTTTAATATCTTGAACCGAAAGAATTTTAAGAGAATGGATTAGTAAAAAGTGTAGAATTTTGTTTTCAGGTCAAATAGTTCTGAATTGAATGCTCTATGTTTGTTGTTCTAGAATCCATGTGTCAAGAGAAGGACTTTAAATATTTGTTGACAGCTTTAAAAATCCGAACTTTAAGCTTGTTTAGTCTCTAAATTTCTTAAGAAGGCTACAACTTGCAATCTTTAAATGATTACAGTCAGTGATTGGAAAATTACTGGAGAATGATTGCTAATTTTATTTCCCAGATCAAATTGACTGATGGAAAACTAAAAAATTATTCAACTTCAACAAATAGGTTTTTCCCTAGTAAGGAATTTGCATGCTTTTCAAGCCGATACCCTTCTATAATTTGAATGTTTATTTCCCAAAATGAATGTTTTGTGGTGTGTTTTAAGTGAAAAAGAGCATAATCAAGTGATGCTGTACAAATATGGAACTGGGTATGTGAGATTATTAATAAACTAATAACGTTTTTTATGACAAGAATGCTATTGACCGTGTGGAACATGTTTGAGGGAAGTTCAATTCTAATGAATGATTTATTTCTTTACTTGAGTTGCACCCTGGAAATTGAGAATAACTTGTATTCTTTTCTTTTTTTGGTTATGTATACTGTAAATGGTATATAAATAAACTTGTTAAATGACATGTACCATGCTTGGAGAAGAACGAGTGGCTGTTTAAATGTTTATTTCAGCTGAAACAAAGTAATTTTTGCTTTATGTTTTCTTCTTGCTTTATAATGCTCCTCGTTGTGCAAATTTTATCTTCTTAAATATTTTCCTGAACTTCATGCCCTTGTCAAATGATTGATGTATTACAGAGTGTAGGATTCATAGGGCTGGGAAATATGGGATCCAGAATGGCAAATAACCTGATCAAGAATGGATACAAAGTGGCCGTTCATGACATGTAAGTCATAAGCATTTTCCTTTCTGTTCGTAATCATGGATTCTGTAAATTGATTGAAACAGAGTTCTGTAAATACCAGGTTGAGTTTTATAATCTTTTGGCAATGCTAGCTGTCAAAAGATTGCTGAGAGGATCTGGCATGCCTAAGATTGGTATTAAAACTCTTTTGTCTATGATATAATCTTAGTTGCATGGTTTAATAAATGAAAGTTATTACATGCATATAATCACCCAGTATCAATGGTAAAATTCGATTTTAATTCAGAAACTGTAATGTCATGAAGATGTTTTCTGACGAGGGAGTTCCAACAAAAGAAACACCATTTGAAGTTGCAGAAGCAAGTGATGTTGTAATAACAATGCTTCCATCTTCATCACATGTAAGTATTATGGCTCCATTTAGTCATGTCTGTTGATGTTCAGGATCTATGGAGCTCTGTGGTTTCCTATTGTTGTTTTCATATAATGTACTGACTTGTTAAGACATTGGCGCATTCTCTCTGTACTGTTACTGAACCTTTTGGATGTTTATATGGAACACTCTGTGTGGCAACCCAGAAAGTCTAGAGAACTGGTGTTCCATAGGTAAGGGAAGAGAATAGGCCCATCCCCTTCCAACAGAAAATAAATCCCGAGGATGTTGTTGGGAATACAGGAAGAGAATTCTAGGTTCTTAGAGATAGGAAATGGAAATATTTCATATGGCATTAAAATAATATGGAACTGCAGCATGCAGTGAATGCTGTCTTACTATTCATTAGGACTATTCCAAATCCCAACATGCTAAATTGGCCTTCAACTACTTGATCGTATGTAGTTCTTATCTTCTTTGGTTCTTTCGTAGAGAACAAAAGTAAGATTTTGATAATCTGCTTGTAGAATGAGGCTTCAAACAAAATCATTCACAATAATTTTTGGCATGCTTACAAGAAAAAAGAAGTAAAGCTAAAAATAGGGGGCTAAACTATTCATGTTGCTGTAGCCTTTCATGTGAGATTTTAGACAGCTATGAGCCTAGGATCAGCACATAATTTCTGGACGATGACAGACAGTAGCACTTCTTCATGTGAACAACTGCTACTTAAATACCAATGGCAAACAAAAATGTATAGCTAAAGTAGCTATAAAATACGCTGCTCTAACCTATAACCATGTATCCTGTGTATGGATGCATCCATATTTCCACCTGCATGCTGTTCTCTTTTAATAGTTTGGAACTTTGAATACTCATATGTCTCAACTCTCAATAGTAAGTTCTTGGTCTGAATTGATAAATGCTTTCCGAGAGATTCTGCTTTCAAGGTTTCTACTTTTCTTTACTCTCCTTGTTTGTCAGTATCGACAGTCTAAATGATGCAGGTATTGGATGTGTACACTGGACAAAATGGTTTGCTTCATGGTGGAATTCTCTTGAGGCCACAATTGTTAATAGATTCATCTACAATTGATCCCCAAACATCGAGAAAGGTTTCTGTAGCAGTATCTAACTGTATATTAAAAGAAAAGAAAGGTATATAATTTTCTATTATAATTATTAAGGTTTATATTCATATGGTTTGTTTATTGTTGTACTGGTGATTGGTGACTTTTTAATGTGCATTATTTCTTGGTCTTACCTTAAAAACTTTTGTCTGATTAAGGTGATCTGTTTGAATACACAAAAACCAACGCCTTCTCACTGTCTCTTGCAACAATTTGATGCACTTAGCAGTGATGTGTCTTTAAGAACTGTATAACATCTTTTTATTTCTTTCGTGTTCTAACAATGAATAAAATCTCTTATGAATTTTGCAGATCATTTGGAGAAACCTGTCATGCTGGATGCTCCTGTGTCTGGAGGTGTTCTTGCTGCAGAAGCGGGTGCACTTACTTTTATGGTATAGTTTCTCACCTTTCTCAGAATCCTTTTTCACTTGCTCTTAGCCTCTTATAAGTTTAGCTTGGAGTTACTTTAGTGGGTTTGAGTTGGCAAGATTAGAGACTAGGCTCACTAGGGGCTCCAGACTTTGGGAAAGTATGGTGGTGTAGACCCCATCATTCCACATTACATCTTAGATAGCACCCACTTTGGAATCATCTTGTTTTCTTCTTGTAATTCAATTAAGTGACAAAAGATTTTGTCATCCAGGTTGGTGGCTCTGAGGATGCTTATCTTGCTGCCAAACCCTTATTTCTTTCGATGGGCAAAAATGCAATTTATTGTGGTGGAACAGGAACTGGTTCGGTAGGTTCTTGCTAACACTCAAAGCTAGTCGTTTTAAGTTTATTTCTTGATTTTTTTTTTAGGATTTCTTGTTGTCTTTCTGCTTAATTTTAAGGTAGCTTTTGTGTGATTGTTGAATTGCTGATGGGAGAAAGTTGATGTAGCGTGCACATAGTGCGTGGTGGTTGTGCTTTCCTTTGAATTGGTGATTTAATTTGCACAATGTACTGATATGCTTATCAGCACTTAGTCTGAAGTATGGAAAGAAAAAACTGTGGAATCTCTTTTCCAATTCATCGGCAATTAAAATCATTAGGATACCAATTTAAGTTCTGCAACTAAAATATATAAATGGAAATGCAATCAATGAAAAAGGAATGTTATATTGCAGCACATGGGTGGAAAATACCTTTAATCTTCACCTGTTGGCATTCACTTTTTCAAGCAACCGATATCTTTGGTGCTGCATTTGTTGTTTAGGCAGCAAAGGTTTGCAACAACTTGGCAATGGCTGTGAGCATGCTAGGGGTGTCAGAAGCCCTTGCTCTTGGCCAGTCACTTGGAATTGCTGCTGGTACCCTAACAAAGGTTTTGAACACCTCAAGTGCTCGGTGTTGGAGTAGGTATCTGCTTTGACCGTCTCTGGTTTTACTGAATTGAATAGCTTTATTTCAATTTTTAAGCGACATTGTGAAGAAGCCAGCCTCTTGTACTGACAACATTTCCTAGTTTGGTTTCAAGTTTGTGCTAGAGGGCTAGTAGAAGAGACTAACAATGAAATTGCCTAGGAAATAAAAAATGAAGAACAAAAGTCTTCTCTCCAGATTAAAATCATGAAATATGAATAATTGCCTGGAAACCACACAAACTAATGGTATGAAATTCCCCACATGGCAGTGATACTTATAATCCAGTTCCGGGAGTGATGGAAGGTGTGCCGGCTTCAAGGAATTATGCAGGTGGATTCACATCTAAGCTCATGGTAGGTGATTTAGCCTAAGTGCTAGTAGTAGTAAGTTTATTCAGAAGGATTTAAGAATTGCCTTCGAAATAGCTTGTGTCCTACAACACTCGAGTTTTTGGCCTGACCATGAGCATGATGAACATGGTCTTTTGCATGATGCAGGCTAAGGACTTAAACCTTGCTGCAACATCAGCCGAGGAGGTTGGTCTTCAGTGTCCACTGACATTCCAAGCACTAGAGATGTAAGTACCTCTTCTTCTCAGCTAACATGGAACTGTTTTCTTTATCATATGGAAATTGGAACCGAGGGCATATGATCTCTTTGGTGCATTCTATGCAGATACACAGAGCTCTGTAAGGATGGACATGAAAGCAAGGACTTCTCCTGTGTTTTCCGCCATTATTACAGCGGCAAGGATGAACTTTAGCTGAACAATGAGTGGCGTGTCTTGTAGCAGATAACAAGAACCAAAGTGTTCAGAAACTCTTAAGGTGGGTCTTTTATTGGAGCTGGTGAACTGATTGGCCTCTTTTTGTATAAAATAAAATGCTGCTAACAAAAAATGTCACCCTTTGTAAAGCTTGTTTACCATATTCATAGTGAATCACAAACCTTTACAATACAGATTGCTTGACATGGAAAAGGCTTTACGTTTTTGCTTTTCTGTTCAACTTTCATTTCCTAGACAAAGGGCAAGGAACACTCTTTTCTTGCCATATCAGAAGTGGGCTACGGCAATTGAGGTGGCTTCATCTTGGCGATGACAATGGGCCAGACTCTATATGGTTCACTAAATATCTATTAAAAATATATAATAAGCAATGAGATAGATAAAAAAATTAAAAATACATATTCGTTAATATGATTTTTGGATGTACATATTCAATTTATACTTTATTAATACCTATTAACATGTTTTGAAAAAAAGATCTGATTGAATAATCTTTATAAAGTAGGAATCAAAATATTATTTATGGAAACTTTGAAAACCCAAAAACTTATAAAGAAGGGACTAAATTGTAAACAAAATTAATTTTGAGGACAAATATAATTTTTTTGGAAATTACAGAAATGAAATGTTTTGACCTACTTTTAAGCTCTACAACAAGAAGATATGTTTTGTACTTGGGCTGGGTTTTTATATCTTGGAGTGTAACAAAACCATTGGAATAGGCTATGATGCATGGCAGATCACACTTTTAATGTTTAAAAAAAAAAAAAACTTAATGACCAAACTAAAGTGCTTTATAAATTATTTTCTATATTTTCAACAATCGAATTAATTACTCCTTTTAAAAAAATAATTCTTTAATTCTTTAATCCTATACTTAATTTAATATTGTTTTATTTTAAACAATACCATATTTCTCTTTAATCATTTCCCATCTTTTACTTATTTTTTTCTTCTTTTACTATTTCTTAAAAGAATTAAAATAAATTACAAAAAATATATATATAATTAAATAATTAGTCTTTGAAAAAAAAATTTTTTTTTTCGAAACTAAAAAAACTAATCTATATTTTTACTCAAACAAACTACAATAAGCTCCGAATATCAAACGAATAAATTCTCCAATTAGAATTGATGAACTTATAAAGTTATAATTTTTTGTTACTTTTATAAAGAGAAAATGGTGCCAAGATTCATATTTTAATTCCAATCTTGATCATTTATCAAAATAAAGAAAAAGGAAATTTCCTTCCACACCACGTAGGTCCATTCTTTGTTACTGTTTTTATTTTATTTTATTTTATTTTTTCTGGTCCAACCTCGTCCAACACGTTGCTTGCATGATATTCCAAAAAAAAAAAAAAAAATGCAATCCTAAATTAGTCCCTTTAGTGTTTTAAAAAAATATTTTAGTCCTTTTCATTTTAAAACTAATTATTTAGTCTTTATATTTTTAAATTTCTTGTAATTTAATCCTTTTTATTGTTATTAATTTTTTTAAAAATAGAAAAATAAAAATAATAAATGAAAGTATGAAAAAATTAAAGGAAAAAAATGAAATTTATAAAATTAAATAAAATTAAATTAAGCATAACTAACACTAGTCAATGAACTAAATCATTAACGTTTAACACAAAGAGGGCTAATTGATTATGTTTTAAAATAAAAGGAGTAATGTATAATTTACTCAATCCTAGTACAAATATCTTAGAACTTTCCTAGCAAGCTCCTTGTGACTCGATTTGGTGTCTTAATTTTCCTTGCACTATAAATACTACCTTTCCCTCCTCTTCTCTCTAGAACCCCAGAGATGAGAGAGGGAGAGAACCCATACGGCAAAAGCAGTAAAGCACACTCTTCTAGTCTTCTTAACTGAGAAAGAACTTCAAGAATCCAAACAAAACAAACACACAAACCCCATTCACATTTGTTACTTTTTTTCACAGGTACAACCCTTATCAGCCTCTCTAGTTTTCTTGTCTTGTTGTTTTTGAATCTATTTATGCATGTGTATTATACGGTATCTATGCGTTTATGTATACACACTCAGTTGTACACTAAACATACGTGTATGCATACGCATGTAGGGTGAAAGTTTGTATCTTGGAGAATTTTGAATTCTGGGTCATTGAGATTTTTGTATTTCTGTGCTTTTTGTTTCCATTACAGCTTGATTCTTCTCTTTATCTCTCTTTGATTGCATAAAGTTTGTGTCTTTTTATGTATAGGGCTGTTTGGTTACTGAGAAAACTCAGAAACAGATGTATTTTACCTTTCCAAATGCTTAATTCTCGTCTTTGTTTGACATTGATTGCCTAAAATTTGTGTCTATTATTATTTTGATAGAAGTTTGTGTGCACCATCACCTGTTTGGTTTCTGAGAAAAGAAAAGTAGCGAATTGGGACTTTCATAATTTTGCTTTTTATGCTAAAAGTTTGATTCTTTTTTCTCTCCCTAATAATATTTTAATAATTTGTGTGACTGTAACATTTATTAGCACTTTTGCAAGTTGCTTATGGAAATTGGAGTGAAGCGAGTTTATTTAATTTTATTAAAAAAATGCTTAATTCTTCTCTTTATCTGACGCTGATTGCCTAAAGTTTGTGTATTTTATTTATTTATTTTTATGTATGTTTCTGTTTGGTTGCTGAGTAAAGAAAAATAGCAAATTGGATTTCTAGTATTGTGCATTTCATGATAGAGATTTATCTTATGTAATTGAATTTGGTTTCATAATTAACAGTGATCTGTGTGGTTATGACTTTTAGTAGAACTTTTGGAGGTTGCTTATGGAAATTGGAGTGAAGAAGATGAATTTTACACCTAAGGCTATCATACACCAAAAGTTTGGTAGCAAGGCATGTTATAAGGTAGAGGAGGTACCAGAGGAGTCAGCTCAGAATGGATGCCCAGGATTAGCAATTCCTCAGAAGGGTCCCTCTCTTTTTCGGTGCCGGTTAGAGCTTCCAGAATTTACTGTTGTTTCAGATATATGTAAAAAGAAGAAGGAAGCCGAGCAATCTGCTGCTGATTTGGCTTTAAAAAAGGTATGCTTTAGCTTCCTTCTTAAGATTATTGTCGGGATTTTTCCTATTTGATTGAACTTGCTAGCTGTGGATGTGTATACAGCCTAGTGATTAAATGACAGTCATTTCTTCCTCGCGATTGAATTTTTTTTTTTTTTTCTGATTGAACAATGTTGTTGATAATGTGCAATGAATGTCATTACCAAATTCAGATGGATATGGAATTTATTATTTGTCAATTTAAAGTTTTGTTGGTTATGTCGGTTGCCTGAATGTAGATACTTTTTCTTTGTGACTATGAGGAGATTAAATTGTTCTTTGGATAATGTATTTGCTTATACAGCAGGAATTGTATATTTACATGGTTGCCGTTTATTTGTTATGTTTGCTTTGAGATGAATTTATCATGTAGTTTTCAGCTTTTCTTCAGCAAAAGTTTAGGTCATTAATCTGAAGACTGATGCAGTTCTTTCTTTCGTCCTCGCCTTATTTTTTTTGGCAACGTCATTTGGTTACTTAACTATTTATTTACTGTTTATCCTGCAGCTAGGCCATAATCCTGCAGCTGAAAATCCATCTGAAAAGGATCCTTATGATGCTTTGATTGGTCGAATCGAATATCTATTTTCAGACGAGGTTGGTAGTTTGGATAGAAATGAATTGTGAAACAGTTTTGGTTCTACACGATACTCACACGGCACTTGGTTTTTCAAGTCATATATACGTGAGGATCCTTGACTTGGTTTGTACATAATGCTGTGCTCTAACCTCTCCCCTATTTTTGTGTTAGTTCCTTTCACATCTTCATCCGTTGAGTGGTCACCTTAGAGCAGCTTTGTGGAGAAAAGGTGATCTTTATGGTCTGGTACCTGCTTCTGTCATTGCTGCCTGTGATACAAAGACAAGCAATTTGTGTAAATTACTCAACCCCGAGGTGGAACTAAAACCATTTTTGGCTTTGTCATTAATTATGAGGGCTATACCAAGATCATCAAGGCCTGCTGTAACATCCAAGGGGCAGCTTTCAATTCAGAAGCAAAATCCATATCCCACTGAGATCATTGAGTCATCAGATATCCAGCAATCTGGTTCCCTAGAAAGCATATTAGTTAAAGCTATAAAAATTCCAGCTTCATTGGATAAGACTATCCAGCCAGTGACTCTTGATATTTCATCCGCCGGATATTACTTGGATGTTATTGCACAAAAACTTGACGTAACAGATGCCAGCAAGGTTTTGCTCTCAAGGTAGGTGGAACTAGTTATAATACAGAAAGCCTGAGTTGATGCATGTTTTGGCCTAAAATGGTCATTCCTTACAGATATGACATGATGTAATGTTGTTTTTCTTGTTTGGAAGATGGCTTATCCTTCTTTGTGTAGCATTATGTTCTGTTTTTTCAGATAAAATCTTTTTTTTTACTATCAAACTGGAGAAAGAATGACAGTTTTTTGTAACTACTTCATACTTTTCCTCCAACAGGACAATTGGTAAAGCTTCTTCTGAGACAAGATTGTATTTTGCCGTTCCTGAGTCACTTGTGATGGATCTATTGTCAGACCTTCCAAATGGTAATCTTTCCCATTTGGAAGGACTTTTGAATGCAAGGGCAAGTTACTTCTGTGGTCAAGGAATATATGGTGATGCAATCATGGCTTCCGTTGGTTACACATGGAGGTCTAAAGAACTTTTCCACGAAGATGTGTCCCTCCAATCATATTACAGGTCTCTTTTGAATTCCTTCCCTTCAATTTCTTGTTTCACCCCCATTAGCCTTTTCTATCTTTTCTCTGCAATGTTGCTCAAACCTTAGATTTGATGCAAGTTTGATGTGCTCTTTCGCTAGGACAATGCTTAATTCATGGTCAATAATGTCACCAAAGGATAAGCTTTTTGTTAAAATAAAGTTAAAGTTATTTGTTCTAATACAGTTTCATTTTATTGTTGC